TTTGTTTTTTCCTTTCTTTTTTTCTTCTTTCCCTTAGGCCTCTCTCTTCCTTGCTTTTTGTGATGGGAGGATGGATGATGGATGGAGGGATGCTCGTGCAAGGGGACGGTATTTGTTTGGTGGGCCCTAGGTAGAGTGTGTGCGTAGAGTAGGTGTGGGTGTGCAGAGAAAAAGCAGCAGGCGGCCAAGCAAAGCAAAGCAAAAGGCACCACAAAAACACTAGAGGACGAGTACGTTCCTGTCTGTAGACTTCTGTGTATATGCAGCAGGCAGTGCACTCAAAGAACGAGCGCGCTAGGATTACACCAGATGTTTACATACTACATGGAACGTACTCCAGCGGGGTAGACTTCGTATGTTTCCCGGCCATGCCATCTCGTTTTTCCTGTGCTATGGCGACATTATACCCGTGTGTGGAGTTAGTTGACCCTCTTTTTGCTTTCTTTTGTTTTATATAACCCTACTATCTCGGAAACATCGAGTATCATGTAGGGTTGTTGGGTAGAGTACAGTAGGGTTGTAGAGTGGGAAGAGTGGGAGAGAGAGGGTGGAAGTTTCCTTTCCCGGCCGCTGGACTGTCAATGAGCACCCACACCTCTTTTTTTTTGCGAGGCCTTCTTTTTGTTTTTTGCCGGATCCCTGGGCTGGGAGCGAGGGTACGGTTACCGGTTGATTGGATTGATCTTCTCGACTGGACTGGCGCAAGCAACAACAACAAACGGACCCGAATGGGCTTCTCTCTTACCTTCGGTTCTCCTTGTTTTCCAATTTGTTGGGGTATGTACGGGGGGGGGGGGGGTTGAAAGGGGGGTGAGAATCAGATCGCGATGGCGATTCTGTTAGAGATCGGGGAATTGTTTTTTTGGCGGCCGCGGGTACATCTCTACGGTTGGAAGGAAAGAAACGAGGAGAGATCAAGAGACACACGGAAAGATTAGATTGTTGATTACCGCTCCTGCTTCCTTCTCTGCGCTGCGGGCTAAAGGGGGAGTGGAGGGAGGGATGCGGCGGCGGGTCACGTAAGATGGGGGTAGAGTTATGTATGGTAGATATGGGTATGAAGGTATGGGTATGGATATGGGGGGAGTGTAGTGCAGTCTGGGGAAATATACCGCAGGAGGATCAGAATGGGCGTCCCGCAACGCAACGCAAGTGGGTGGATAGATGGGCATGTGTATGTGAATGCTATGCTATGCGATGCCATGCCATGCTATGTGGGTTTCATAAGTACTCAAAGTACTCTGGAAGCAGGTTAGAGTAGCATGTAGCTATGTTGTGCAGGAGTATTTAGTAGAGTAGGGTGAGATGTACATACTCTAGACATGTACCTAAGAGAAGGGGCAGAAATTGAAGGCGAACAAGTGTCAAAATGGAGGTTTACAACTACATGCTGCATCCCTTCTTGATACTACACTCTACTGTGTTGCAATTGTGCTGTTCTGTTGCTGTTGTTTTTTTTTCGCGCGCGCGCGTTTGCTTCCCTTGCTTGGGCGAGTGAGTGAGTGAGTGATTAGATGACGACTTAATCCTCCCGTTTGACAACCCCCCACCCTCATCATGCTCCTTATCACCCCGCGAATGAAGAACGGCGAGATTGATGGATGATGATGTCGGTCATCGTTCTCCCATACCCCCCCCCTCCCCCCCGGAATCCTTGTAGATGTCTTGAAGTGAGTGAGTGAGGTGAGGTGAAGGTGAGTGAGTGACTTGAACGGGTTCTCGAGCGCGGGTAGCACAAGCTCCAAAAGTGGTTTCATTTGTGATCTGCAACAGAACCCTGGGGCCTTTTCGGGTTCGAAACGCAATCCCTCGGTTGGGGTCCCAGGCTAGTAGTAACTATTAAGCCCGCTGATCTAGCTGGTTAGAGAAGTCAACTACTTCGGCAAGTGATTTACTTAACCTCACCCCTTCTAATGATACCTCAACTCACCACTTCCCTGGGTCATGCTGCTTGCTTGCTTGCCTGCTTTGCTGGGTAGAGGCTACTAATGTACGTGCAATGATACCTCTTTTTTTTTTCTTTTTTTTGCCTCCTCAACAGTCTCAACTGATTTGCTTTTTTGCGAGGAACCTTTAATTTTGTTCTTGAGACCGCCGCGCCTCCTTTCCTTCCATTCCCTGTTCTGTGGGTTCCAGAGAAAGGAAACTCTGATATCATACTCTACGGGATCTGGTGTAATAAGAGGTACAGCATGTATGTACCTAGTAGCGTACTCTAGCTCCGCGAAAAAAAGCAAGCAAGCAAGCAGCACGATGATATGATTTGTATATTGGAAGCTCGGTACATAGGTAGAGTGGAGTACATGGTGAGGGGAGGGGGTCGCTTTCGCCGCGCTCTGTGTGGGATCATACTCTACCGCTCGACCGGTTAATTGGATTGGATTGGGCGGTCGGGCAACACCTCTTTTTGCGGATGATAAGAGATGGAGATGGATGGGACCTTTGTACTCTAGGTACTCTACTGGCCGTCCTGGGTGATGATGGGTGATGGGCTGGTATGGTGGTATGGTGGTATGGTATGGACCGTATGGTAGGGCTCATGCAAGTCAAGCAAGTTAGAAAGTTAGAAATGTGCAGAACCCTGGACTCGGCTTGACCCTTTTGACTGGTCGCGCGCGGATCCCCCCCCTTTAAGTTTTACCGCCGCTTCGCCCTTAGAGAGCTTGTACGTCAACAGTGCCGTTTATCGTATTATCTACAAAACGTCTACGCCCTTCCACCCCCCCCTCTATTTGCGTCCTGGCAGAGGCAAAAGGGAGGGATGTGGGGAGGGAGTGTTTATGCATTCGTTCGTTTGTCGTCGTAATATTATGAGGGGGGTCAACAAAAGAACAGCTTCCCCTGAATTTAATTCCTCTCCCCAGTATCATAGGGCAGGCAAGAGAGTGGGCATGGCAGGCAGGAAGGCTATTATACATGATGCTGCGTTAATACTCTATTGTTATGGGACATACATACGTCTGACATATTACCGCTGTGCCTGCCTGCCTTGGTAGGCCCTCTTTTCTGTACCTGACATAAAGGGAGATCCGCAGCAGCATCAGCATCAGCATCTGAACTTCTAGTGCACGCGGGGGAATTCTGAAAGTGAGTGAGGAGAGAGGAGGGGAGCGAGGGGAGCGAGGGGAGCGTCGAGGGGTCGTCCAGTCCTATTTCGTTATCCTAGTCCTAGTTAGAAGTGTAAACCCTGGTCCGTTCTTTTTCGCCTCTTTGCGAGTGTTCTTTGCCTGTCAAAAGTGAGTTCTTTATTTTTAAAACAAGACTTGAACTGGGCTGTGAACGGATCCAGCTCATCGGAGAAAAAAAGGACTCACGGTTGACTCCAGTGGACCTCACTCGAATCTACCCCCCTACCTTGCCTACTATGTACCCCCCTACACTTCCCATACTCATCATTCATCATAAGCAGCATCATCGACTCACCAGTAGCCAATAAGTCATACCCTTAACCGCTTTGTTTATTTGAGGACAGAGTTACATTACTGCCCCCTCCTCCTACGTATTGTAACCCTGCTTTTTGTTCTTTCTACTCACTCTGACTGACCTGACTCTCGCACCCCCCCCCCCCCCCTTACCGGTGGAAGCGGCGAGAGAAGAACGGAGAAGAAGCAGTAGAAGAAGCAAAAATATACCTTTGTCCCTCCCCCCCTGCCTACCACAAAAAGAAGAAAAAGGAAAAAAAAAGCATACAGGGCAGGACAGAAACAGGACCCATCCATGGATGAGAAGAATGAAGAAGAAGGAGGAGAAGTAGAGACGAGAGAGTCAAAATTAGACAAGAGAGATAGAAAATGAACAGGCAAGGACCCTACTTGCACTCGCTACGATACTCGTACTATAACTCTGAATATACCAAAGATATACCCTGTTTCTTTGGATGGACCTCTACCATTATTTTTATTTTTATTTTTTCTTTGCTGCCACTTTGCTCGTCTTTTTTTGCCGCCCGGTGCAGGCAGGCAGGTGAGTGAGTGGGTGCAGCAGCAGCAGCAGCAGCAGCAACAGGCACCAACGATTGGCTGGGAGCTTGCAGGGCCAGGGCGATGAACATTGGGAAACTCGTCACCGGGCCGCAGTAAGTGTAGTGGGTAGTAGGTTATCATGGTTATTTGCAAAGGTGAGAGCGAGAGTGTCCCTTTTTTTTCTTTTCTTTTCTTTTCCTAATTCTGGACTGTAGTCACACTAGGTAATTTTTCTGTTGACCTGATCACCTTTCCCTACATAGGCCTCCGTAATATAACAACGGCTGCGGGACTAGCAGTTTTGCATACATACATCGAGATTCCTTTCCTTCACACACCCCCTCCACGTTAAAACATATCTCTCCTCCACCCCTCCACCACACCCTCCCTCTCTGGGACTTTCATACATACATACAGTCTATATACTGGTGCTGTAGCCCACACTTTCATTCTTTCTGAGCTTCACTAGGGCGTGTACGTGCAACATTACAACATCATACATCATTTTTTCACTTGGGTTTAAGGGAAAGATATCTCTCGCGTAAGTTTTTTCATCACCACCTTGAACGTTTGGTCCCCCTTTGGGGAATGTGTTTGGGAGAGTGTTGGAGGGAAAGTTTGATGGCTATGACGATATCGATATGGCGGTGGTGATATTTTGATATGGTTATGGTTGTGGTTGTGGTTGTTGGGAGGGCTGGATTGTGATGTGATGGTTGTGGGTTGTGGGGTTTTTTTTGGGTGGTGGTGTGGGCTTTTTGTTGTTGTTGCAAGTGTTTGTTACTTACACTTTGTGCTATATCAACAAAAAGCAGGAACCGCACTATTACCCTTTTCCTACATCTTACTACTATTACTACCCACTCTGGCCCACTCCACTACTATTTGGAACTATTACTACAACCACAACCACAACAGCCACAACCACCCTACAAACAAAACAAAAATACTAACTAGGGCCAAAAGTTCACAGAATAGCCAGTTAAATTACCAACAAAAAGAGTTACTAGGCTCGGAACCCTCTCCCACAGCACCGAAATGGAGCCCGTGGAATGGTCCCGGATGATGGCAGACATCTTTTTCGCCCATCAGGACCCGCTGGGCGAGCTGCAGAAGTTCAGACACCAGGTACCGCCGTTTGTACTGCGGACGTTTTGCGATAATACGGCCATCACAGCGCCGCCGGCGAGCGGGCAGCAGATGTGGATCTATGATCAGAACCAAATGTACATTCATTCATTCTTTCCTTTTTTGAAGTTTTCCTCAATTTCCTCGTTTTTCCCTTTATTTCCTCAGTTTTTTCTATTTCCTAGTGTTTTATCGCTCTCTCTATTCGCACGGTCATGATTCTTTCTCTATTTCTTTTTCTTCGTTCTCCGTACTAAACAGTGGCCCCGTCCCCCTCTCCAGTCCCACCTGCATCGTCAACACCATCACCACAACCCCCGGCAGCGATCCCGACACACTCATCATCTACCGACCCGCCACTCGCGAGTTCACGCAGCGCCGCTGGACAGAGTGCTTCGGCGCCGACGCCATCTACAGCCGTTTCTTCGACAACCTGACCACCGCCCGCTACATGCGCGAGCGCTTCGCAAAGTTCGAGCTTCTGCAGCATGTCGACCGCGACATCTTCCAGGGCCTCGTCGACCCCATCTGGCAAATCCAATCGCTGCAGCACACGGGAAACGTCACCCTGCGCCGCGACGACGTCTGGGCACTCAGAAAATTCCTGCACCTGATGACTGGCCTGCATGCCCGCGATCGCACGATGCATCTGCTAGCGCATGCGCCCGAGATGGAGGATGCGCGAGTAAGGAGGAAGCGATTCATCGAAGCCAGGGCCATGGAGCACCCGAGGGACGTGTGGCTGTATAATGCGGAGCAGACGCTCAAGACGCCGCACCACGAGGTACACACGAACACCGCAATTTTCGACCTCGACAGGGAAGACTACCGTGTCAACGCGCGGGAGCGATTTCTGGTGCTGTGGGAGGCCGGCCCGGGGGATGAGTTTATCCTGACAGAGAATGGGTTTGGAGGGTTCGAGGGCGGGCAGATTGGCGCGAGGCAGGACTCGATCATCAATATGGGCTCGAGGGAGTTGGAGCAGCACATGTATACAAGGGACTTTATGTGGCACCAGCTGTACGTCCTGTCGCCGACACTGGTGGCCGCGCTGTGCCACGGCACGCTGATGCATCCGGACCTGACGCGCGCGCAGAGGAAGCGGTGGGGGCTCAAAAGGTCGCTGCTGGAAAACCTGCCGCACGAGGTGGCACCAAAGTACTACAAAGACATGACAAAGGCCGATGTGTCGTTCCTGAAGCCTGGGTTTCCGATCCCACAGGACGTCGAGCGCGCGTTCGCCGCAAATGTGGCGTTGGAGAAGCGAATGGCCGACGAGATCGAGTTCCCGGTGCAGCGACTGTCTCCTAAACAAGTGTCTATGGTCAACAGTGTTCTTCTCCACAACCAGCAGAACGGGCCTATCGTCAAGTCAGTGTGCTGCAAGTCGCCGCCAAAGTATCAGTCGCTGTATAACTCGCTCGTGATGTTCCAGCAGCAGCCGTGGGACAAGTACTCGGCCGAGGAGCAGAACGACTACTCGCTGCTGACTGAGCGCCTCCGCGTGTTCCTGCAGCCCGCAGCCCCCGAGCCCCTCTCTGCCCATCTCCAGTACGCCCAACAGCAGCAGCAGCAGCAGTTCACTCACCAGCTCCCACCGCACCAGCTACACCAGATGCCCACCATGCCCATGTCAATCTCCATGCAGCCGCAGCCGCAGCCCGCCATGCCCGCCGACCCTCGCCGCCACTTCGCCGCCGACCGCTCTATGACAATGCCCGAGGTGCCGCGCTACGAGCAGCAGCCAATCCACGAGATCCGCCCCACACATCTCCGCGCAAACAGCCAGATGTCGCATTCATCCCATACCTCCTCCTTCCCGTCCTCGCAGTCCTCGCAGACCTACTCCTCCGCGTCCAGTCAGACGTCGAGCAGCAGCGCCACAAGCATCGATGCTGTCCCCCGCTTCGAGTCCAAGGCCGCCCCTCCTCCTCCTCCTCCTCCACCACAGCCACAACCAGCACCCACCGCCGCCGCTCCCGCTCCCGCTCCCGCCCCCGCAGCACGTGAGTCAAGGTCACGCCCCCAGTCCCCTGCCCGCAAGACAGAGAAGCCCCGCAGGACAAACTCGCAGACCGAGAACGTGCCCAGCAAGCCGGTGAAGCCAACGCAGCAGCAGGCGCCCAAGGCGGCTAACATCGTCATCGAGCACACCGTGCAGGAGATCCAGGAGCGACACAGAGGCCGCCAGGCGTCAAGGTCTGACCCGCCGCCACCACTACTCCCTCAGATGAAGGTTAGCCCGATTCCGGACCGTGTGGAGTTGACGGCGTCGAAGCCAAAGCCGAGACACCAGCAGCAGCAGGAGCAGGCCAAGGCTCAGGAGCAGAAGTCCCAGCAGCAGCAGCCACAGCCGCAGCAGAGGCAGCAGTCACAGCCGCCAGTTCAGCAGCAGCAGCAGAAGTCGCAGCAGCAACAGCAGCAGCCACAGTCGCAGCCTCAGCAGCAGCAACAGCAGTATCAGAAGCCGCAACCACAGAAGCAGCAGCAGCAGCAACAGCAGCAGCAACAGCAGCAGCAACCACAACCACAACCGCAGCCAATGCAGCAGAGGTTCCAGCCCCAGCCACAGGCCCAACAGCAAGCTCCCCTTCCCCAGCCACTGCAGCAGAAGGCCAGCGTCCTCCCAGAGCGCCCCATGTACGTCATGGACGTTATGGACCCCATGCGGCCCTTCCAGCACGAGCACGAGCGCACCGAGCCCCCGCCGCAATGGAACTTTGGCGGTGTCGAGCTGCAAGGCCACCAATACGATAACGGTCTTCCTGAGTCCCGTGCCCACTCCCAGCAGTCCCAACGTAGCACAAGCATGTCCAACGAACGCTCCTCCCAGGGCAGTGAGCACGTCAGGCAGCGCCAGTACGAGACCGAGCGCCAGTGCCAGTACGAGGTCCTCATGCAGGACCTGCAGTCCCACCCCCAGCCCTGCGACCGCAACTCCCAGACCAGCGAGACAGCCAGGCGTCAGCAGTATGATAACACGCGCCCCGAGCTTGGCCAGATCCAGAGGCCCATCCCGCCCACTGATCGCCACAGCGCCGACACCGTCTCTTCCCGCGGACGCCCCTACGAGCCGCCAAGGCCAGAGCAGGGCCAGATCCAGCGCCCCCTCCAGCGTCCCAGCCCTGTAGCGGACGGCAGCAGAAAGGTCGAGCAGTCCCAGCCAATGAGGAACACTGCCTCCCATGAACGCTCACACCAGTACGAGCCCAAGGCAGAGCAGCAGTCCCAGCCCATGCGCAACACCGGCTCCCACGACCGCTCCCACCAGTACGAGCACAAGCCGGAGCAGCAGTCACAGCCAATGAGGAACACAATGTCCCATGACCGCTCATCGCACTCCAGCGAGCACGCCCGTCAGCGCCAGTACGAGTTCGAGCTTCTCAAGCCCGAGCAGTCCAAGCCTCCCCCAGTCCCAGCACACAAGACCCCGCCCCAGATCCACAAGCCACAGGCCCAGCGTCCCGCCAACACCACCACCAACAACAACTCCAACTCCAACAACTCCACCGATGCTCCTGCAGCCGTCGATGAACTCCGGGGACGTCCACCATACGAGATTGTCACCCCGGAGGGACTCCAGCCACAGCAGCAGCAGCCGCAGCGCAGTGCAAACAGCTCCAGTGAGCGCCAGATGCGTCCCGGTGTCGAGATTGTCCGCCCACATACCCTGGAACCTGTACGCCCGGAGCCGCGCTCAACCCTGCAGCCGCCCCAGGCCCAGCAGAAGCCGCAATATGGTGATAATGTCAACGCCAAGGTCAAGCAGCTCCGCTTCGAGGCTACGCTCACACGCAAGCTCTCAAACATGAGCCTTGACGGGTCCATGATCGTGCAGACTGGCGATGACAACGAGACCGACATGAGCGACAGCGAGAGCGAGAGCGGGAGTGAGGACGACGATGACCAGACGATCGAGGGCGAGGACGAGGACGAGGACGAGGAGGAAGATGACGCTTGGGAGGACGAGGGCTTCGCCGAGTCTGAGGAACTCACAAAGCCAAAGAGCACCAAGCCGCATGTTCGCTTCGCGGACCGACCGCTGTCCCGCACGGGGATGCGCGGCGTGCCTGTGCATATTGAACGGCCGTTGTCGAGGTTGGGCTTTGCGGCACACCATCTGGGGAGGAAGGTCGACTTTATTGAGCGCCCGAGCTCGAGGCTGGGCAGGCGGGTTGAGATTGTGAGGCCGTTGTCGAGGAATGGACAGCGTGCGAACATGGGGTTGGGTGCTGGAGTTATGAGGCAGACGCACGGACATGGACATGGGCATGGACATGGGCATGGGCACCACCATGTGCATCGTTGATGATCTTCATGTGGGATGAGCTGGCAGGCTGTTGTGGACTGCAGTGCAGCAGAGGAGGTTTTTTGCTTTTCTTTGTTACTTCTTTCGGTAGTCTTTTTACTCCTTCCTGGGTTTCTTTTATCCATTCTGTTTTTTTTTATCTTGTGTTATTTCCCCATCTGGATTTTTCTTTTGGTTTATGTCGATGATTGCATCCCATCCATCCCCCTAATAATGCCTCTTTCTTTTTTTTATCCCCAATTTCATTTTATTTATTATTACTCGGTTTTTTTATTATTTTATTTTTCTTTTATGGTTATCACGGAACATTGACAATGTGGAAAAGTATATTTGTAACAGGCAGGCGTTTCATGGGGATATAAAAATATCATGTATCTTTTTTTTTTTTTTTGGTTGGCTGATGGTTTATTATATGTATTCTTTGGATTGGTTTCTTTGGTCTGGGTGGGTTTTTTTTCTTGGTCATGTAGAGTGGATAAAAAAAAACTGGGCGAGGTTTTCTTTTTTTCCGGTTTCCTATTTGTTTCTTTGGGCGGGCAGCATATGGATGGGAGGAGGGGGGTCGATCTGGGGTGGATTTTTTTTTATATTTGTTTTGCCAATTGGTGGTTGTGTCGCGTCGTGTATGGTTAGTTGCTGATTGATGATATCCTTCTTATTCTTTTTTTATTTTTTATTCATTCTTTTCGTACTTTCTTTTATCCTATCTTATTCTTATATTCTTTCCATTATTCTTCTTTCTTCTTTCTTCAGTGGTGAGGCCGGATTGCTTCTTTTATTTTTGTAGGGAATTAACGGTGGAGAGGGTTGTTTTGTTTATTTGTATTTTGGTTAGCTAGTTAGTTTGCTAGTTGTTATGCCATTCTTCCGGAGGGAGAGAGGGAGGGGGACAGTTCGATATTGTCACCCCCTCTTCCTCTCTTTTTTTTGTTTTCGATCTGGATCTCAATTTTGCGTGCAATTGGTGATGGCGATGGGCGATGGGTGATGAGGAGGAAGTGTTTTAGCCATTTCTGCCTGCCTTACTGCCTACCGGGCCGGAGGACTTGTGAGACTGCTGCTGCTGCTGCCGTATTTGATACTTGCCACATGAGAAAGGGCAGCTAGCATGTGGGTAGGTACTGTGGTATTATTACCGTACGTACCGGCCGGGCCTTAAGTATTGTATTTTAGCAGCGTGCGCAGTCGCAGTCGCCATACAGCTACATACCACAGTAATTCGTCTCAGCGGACACTCACATTGACGTTGAAATTACTTATTCTGGTCATTTGTCTTGAAAACGCCCCCCTTAATCTTCCCTCATACGCGCTGTAAAAGGCAGCTTCGACGTCTGTGCAACCGTCCGCTGAGAAGAATTACTGCGGTAGTTGCGTTGCGTTGCGTTGCGCCTCTACAAACCTACAAACAATTGTAAGCCAATTCAATTCCCCCGATCGAAATGTAGAGCAGCCGGGCGGGAAAAAAACAATTGACTCATTGCCCATCCAACATATATACATACCACTATCGTGCGGTTGAGAAGGGGAGGGGGGGGGGGGGGTGGATGGCTATTTATCCACACATGTGCTCACTGGCGTTTTTGGTTGCTGTGCACCGACCGGGTCCGGGTATTCTGGGTGATGAGATTGGGGATGGGGATGGGGTCGATGGCCAGCTAGGCGTGATGGAGGAGATGGATGGAGATGAGGATGGGGATGGGGGTTGGGCGTGATTTGGATCCTTATCTTTATCTCTACCTCTATCTGGGGTGGAGTGATGGCGTGGAGTGGTGGGCGAGTGCACGTGGGTTAGGTGCGGTGGTGGGTTAGGTGTGGTGGATGGGTGAATGATAGACTGGCCGGCTAACTGGCCGGCTGACATAACTGGGTGGCTAAAAGTAGACCGAGCTCGAGTGATTGATTGATGGAGCAGGCGCCAAGAGATGCATATGATTAGGTATGATGAGATTACTCATCTAACTCTACAGAACCAACCAATCATTTCCCCAAATGGCCTCTCTCCCGCGGCCCGCCCGTCAAGCTTAAGTGCAACGGCTTGAAGTAAGAAGTGAATCAATCAAGCATTATGTACCTACATAAACCTACCCGTCCCGTACTCTACATAAAAAAAAACGGCCCGTCTGTACATAGAGTAGATCCAACACGATCATCTCGACCTCGGCGCTCAAAGTGCTATGTAGTGAATCAGCACATGTTGTAGTTATCTGCATGGCTCGCCCCGCGGACGCAATTAACTCCTGAGCGGGCCCCTCTGTCGACGTGGTAAATACTGTACAGTATGTAGTTGGATCTTGAAATAGCTATAGTTCTAGGCCATAAACCATGGGAAGGCGCGGCGTAGCAACCTCCCGGGCCATCACGACTACCCACCCAGCAACCACAATCGATCCTTTGGAGAGCTGGTTTTTTGTATAGTTATTAAATAGTAGCTAAATAAAAATAATTTGACATTTAATATCTTGTGTACCAACCCCTTGCCTTTATAACAGCTCTATTCTCCTAGGCATGCTCTCAACTAGCTACTAAATAAATCATCAGATAACAGTTCCCAGCAATAAATTAGACCTTCCTCCACGAGGGGCTTTAATACTTAAGGTGATCTAGTACCATATGCCAAATGTGGGTACTGTTGATGGTAAAGCTTCTTGAGGTGTACCCAAACATGTTCAATGGGATGGAATAGGCAAGCCAGTCCTCCAGAACATCTACCCTATTCTCCTCCAACCAGAGTTGTAAGACTCCGGTTTTTTGCCACAGCAGGGAGGCTGGTCATTCCCTCCTAGCTGTCTGGCGGGGTACATGGTCTCTGGGCGCCATCGGTGGTGGTGAAAGATTTTGTGTTCAGGCGTTGCGACCTCGCGCCTTTCCATGGCAAGTTTCCAGATTTCTTCACGGCCACGTAGAGGTAGAGTAGAGTATTCCGTGCCGAGTTTAATTGCCTACATGTTCTGCACTGCATGTACATATGTCTTTGTTGCCTAGAAAACTTGGTAGGTAATCTTTCTTGCTGCCCGCGCCCGAGCGCGAGGTGCTTCCTTCTTTCTTTCTAGGGTAGTTCGTGGCAGATATCATACGCATCTAGCTAGAAAGTAACCCTCTGGTAGAGCACCATCTTCCAACTCCAACTTCACCGCCAACTCACGCACATACCCTCTCCACGTAGAGTATACACACGTACGTACCCCCAGAACCAATATATATATATATATATATATATATACATGCGAAACGAAGCAAACGCACAACAAAACCAGCAGCAACGAAGCACCGTCCATCCGGGCCACCCGCTCTAAAACCCCCGCCGTTCTACATTCGATTACCATCCCACCCTATCATGTCCAACTCTGTACCTACCTACCTACACACAGGAGTATGTACCTACGGGCCTCGCCTCCTCCTCCCAGCCATTCTTATCGTTTCTCCCAGCCCTTCCTTTCCTTTCCCAATGGTATGTATGTATGTATGTATGTATGTTATATGCAGTTCCACGCTGGCACAAATCAACACGGCCAGCTAACCGCGAGACCAGGATTCGACCCTCGGTCCCCTCCCGTGTATATACAGACCAGACCGCCGACCTGCCTGCGGGCAAATCAGCCGCGAATTCGAACTCGGGAGTCCTGCGCTTCTAGAATAGGCTCTGGCCCTGGTAGCTACATTACTACATGTAGATTGCTTCCGCATGATGATGATGGTACTGCGCTGGTAGTGGTGCGCTTGCAATACTGCCCGGTAAAATATATATTAGAGAGGTGGCTAGAGGCGCTAGCTACATGTATGTAGCTCACAGGCGGGCAAATCAGCCGCGAACTCGTACTGCGCTTCGACTAGGCTTCAGGGTTCCGGGCAACTACATGTACTAGAATTCATGGTACAGTCACTCACGGGGTGAAGGCGGATCCTGTCTGATGGCGGCCAGGGACTTGAGGCTAACAAAAGAGTTAGGTTTTTGGACGCCAAGGGAAAATTACTGCAAATAGAACCATTGGATAGGATCCGCCGTTAGTAGGTGAGCGACTGTAACGGTAATGGTGCGCTTGATAATGCCACGTAGAACACATATTGGGGGTTGGAGCTAGATAACAGAGGAGCTCATGGGCGGGCAAAACTGCCGCGGGCCGATGTCATTGCGCTTGTGAGTGGAGGGAGGAGGTTGGGAGGTATGCCACGTTATCCATGTTTGTGTTTTATGCGGACCAGGAGAAAAAAAACTCTGTCCTGGCTAGCTAGCATGTAGTGTAGTGGTGCTCTAGGCGGATTCGTGATATCTTCTAGCTAGCTAGGCAGGTGGTTTGTCCGGCCGGACCGCGCTTAATGCTTGATACCTATACTCTACATACGCATACCTACATGTATGTATGTATGTATATGCGCGCATTGTATTATGTGCTTCGCCAGATTGTCACCGTCACCTGTCGGAAAGGTGAAAAATTATCAGTGGTCGATTCCTCCGAGTAGTCGCTATTTCGAGGTAGTGGTATATTAGCCGCAATAGTAGCTATGAGTATCGTCATCAGCGCTTGGGTTATTACGTTAGCCGGGGAATGATGATGCTGCGTTTGGAGTTATATATTATTGTACCGTACCAATTGCAGACCCGGAGTACCGGCCGGCCAGATATATGTATATCTGTCCAGGTACATGATATCAACTCAGTACTGTCAGCGCTTACTATCATATCATATCATCATATCATATCATATCGTGTAAATAAGAAAACAGCAAAAAAATAAAAAAAAAAAGGGGAGAGAGAGAAAAAATTCTCATAGGGTAAACCAAGTGGTTAACGATCGCGCGATGGAGCAAGTAATGTTCTGTTTAATACTTCACAGCTACATGTAGGCGCATATGCACGTACACGCGAACGCCGACCTGCGTCTATCGCGCCCCGCATAGGACCTGCCTGTTGGGGACGGGGGCCAGGGTTGGGCGAGTGGTTGTTTGTTCCCGAAAGTTTGGGTGGGGATGGATGCGGTCTACTACTATTCTAAAGTTAGTTAGCTACAGTACTAAGCTAGGCAAGGGATGATGATTGGGGTTGATTAGTGTATGGATGGATTGGGATTGGGATTGGGGGGGGGGGGGGGGGTGATGATGGATTGGGCAAGGAAGCCTATCTACCAACAAGAAAGCTGTGAAGGGAATCACGAACCTTAACGTCAGCGAGTGGAGTGTTAGTTAGATGTGTAATTGTGTAATTAGGGTTCCAATGTCACTATTGGAGCGGGGCGGAGGAGAGAGCATCCATCGTTAACGCCCACGCTGCAGACAGAGAGACTGTTTCTGTTTCTCAGCGAAACAAACCGTTAAATTCCCACCTACGTACGTCGCCGTCACCGTCATTGTCACCCGCCCCCCCCCCCCCCCCCGGGTCCGTTGTCCGTCACTGTTTAATCTCCCGTTACACATGTAGGTACATGGGTATGTAGGAGTACATTGTACTTTCCCCACGCTTTTTTAGCATCCCCCCCCCCCCCGGCCCAATCGAGTTTGGTGAGTGGAGTGCCAAGGTTGGAATGTTCCAAAAATACGCGCCTGCCACACATCATTAGGGTTGGGAGGTTGCTGGGAGGGATAGTCGTTCCCGACGGTTTGTTTTTTCATCTCCGGGATGGAAAGTGGATTTGGAATTGGGGGCCGGAGGCAGCTCATAGGGAAGGGAGAGAGAGACGTACGTGGGAGTGAGTGAGAGTTTGAGAGAGAGCGCGCAGTGTGTGGAAACGTGGAATTGTGCAATTGTGTGCGTAATTAACAACTAACTGAACTGAACTGAACTGAACTGATCCGCTGTAAGTCTTAGTAAGTACTCACTTCTGCGCTTTCCTGTCCCGACTAGTACTCTGCTCCACGAAGCTACATGCATCTCATGCTGCTGCTTTCACCTGTACGGGCTCATATGTAGAGCTACATGTAGTATGTAGTGGTAGTAGAGATACTTGTATCGCGCCTACAGCGTTTACTCCCAATGCCTCCTCCTCCTCCTCCCTATTCACTCCTCCTCCTCTGCTACTCCACATACCGACATAGCTAGCTTCTTTTTCTACGAGCACAGTAGCATCCCAGCTGAGCATTCACTGCATAAACCCACCCACCCACCACTCGTGAGAAAAAAAAAGCTATCTGCATGAAACTCGCACCCACCACACCCACTTCCTCACCCGCACCGCTCAGACCCTACCTACCCAACCCAACCCAAAGCCAATGAGACATGCATAACACCAAGGTCCCAAGAATAGGTAAACCTGCACTCTCACATTCTCAACTCCTACCCAAAAAAACTCTACACGGTGCTGCTGGAAGTAGGTAACTATGTAATACATAGATATAGCCCTGCCCATCCCATCCCCATCAATCCCAACCCACTACCTACCACCACTACCACTACCACTACCACCGACTTGAGCTTCAACCTCGACCTTAACCTATCCTACATAAAAAAATAAAAGACTACACATTTAGAAAGATAGAAAGAAAGAAAGAAAGAAAGAAAAGAAAGAAGAAGCCATGGGCCAAACCGCATCCGCACAGAGCTCGCCTTCGAGCTCGCCAACAAGTGCTACTTTTCCACCAAACGTGCTTCCGTTCAGCAACAACAATAACAATATGCACCCGACGGCCGCTTCACGGTCGTTTGTGCCAGAGGTCGAAATGCTGTATCCAAAGGATACGATGACGGAGACGACGGTGCTGGCGGCGCTGGAGTATGTTTCGCAGAAGTTGATTGCCAAGGGGATTCATGTGCAGATGATACTGGAGGGAGAGGCTTTGGGGTGCTTGTTTTTGGGATCGAGGGATAGGACGTGAGTAAACCTTTTTATTATTATTATTATTGTTGTTGTTGTTGTTGTTCTTGTTTCTATATTTTTTTAGTTTTATATATACGAATTAGTAGATACTGGGTTTTTTTCTTCCAGTACTAGTATTGCGTATAGATACTTTTCTTCTTTTCATAAGTTGTACAAATATTTTTTTTTTACTACATTCCTATCATTTCCGGTATCTTTATACCTGCCTTTTTTCTACTAGTTATACCACTAGTAGTTTTCCAGTAGTTTTTTTTCCTATTATCAGTAGTCATTCCACCCTAGTACATTTCACACTACCCAAATTCCTATATCAGCTCAGTAATCAATAGTCACAAAGCAATACTAACACCCCCATCTCCAGATCCTCTCTAAACCTACATCCCACAACACTCCTCACCCCCCGAACACAAACCCACCTAACACGCGCCCTCCACCGCGCCTCCCAGAAATTCAGTCTCCCACCAACCTGGGCGCGCATCGCGCCCACCGCACCAAACAGCACACTCCTGCACCGCTCCCTGCTTCAGAACGAGATCATCTTCTCCTCCGAGGGGCTGACCGTGCTGGCGGTCGACCTCTGCTTCGCGCTCAAGTGCAAGCTCGAGGCGGTATCGAGTTACTGCGACGCCGAGGACGTCGAGGATGCTGTTGTGCTGTTGAGGAGGCTGGTGAGAGTGTACAGGGGCAGGCCGTTGACGAAGGGGTATATTTTGAGGAGCTGGCCGAAGATCGTGGTTAGTGATTTGGGGCTGCTGAGGGTGGGGAGGGAGTATGAGTGGCGGTATGGAGGGAGGGGTGTGGCGGGTGTCAATGATGAGTATATGGGGTGGAGGAGGGAGGGCGGTGTGGGGTGGGATGTGGGCTTGGAGGAGCTGGAGAGGATGGGGAGGGATAGTGGGACGTATGGGTGCGAGAAGGGAATGCCAGATGTGATGATGGACTTTGAGGCGATCTTTAGAACTGACAGAGAGGATAATTGGAGTTGCAGGTAGTTTGGGAAGTTTTTTTCTTTTTTTTCTCTTTTGACACCTTTGGGACATTCGTTAAATGGTTTGGTGTTTTCTGTATTATTTTTTCCTTTTCTTTCTTTCTCTACAGCGGTCATCTTGTTTTGTTTATTTGCTTTGGTTGGCATTTTTTTTAGGTTCGGGTATATGGGTGCATAGATCTATGGAGTTTTTCATTTACTGACGGGCATTTTTTTTCTCTCTGTATTTTAAGCGTGGAGTTTTTTTTTTTTTTTATTCTCTTTTTATTTTTCTTCTTATCCTTCTTTGGCCGGAGTTGACTCACGATCGTTAAAGGTTTTCTGATATCATATTAGCATTTTTTCCTTCTTTCTTGTATCCACTTACCATGACTTAGCTCATTTGCTAATTCTCTTCATTATTTTTTATTTTTTATTTTTTATTTTCTATTTTATTTCCCCACATGTATTCTATTCTACATTCGTTCTTGTCAGTTGTCAGAACTGATTCAACTGTCTCTTCCCAAAGAAGTGGGCTCCCGCCGATCAGTTATGTAGGCAGCGGAGATTGGCAATTCATACATTGAACGCATAATTTCATGACATCTCAGCCCTCCCAGAAACCCCCCCCCAAATGGAAATTGTGACTTCGGAAATCACCATCACGGCCTGCGATGATTGGCTTGTATTACTGTTGGGCGCCCTGCGCCGCATGCAGCCATTGCATTGATTTGGAGCAAGTCTTGCCAAGGCTGTTGGTCACGCAGAGCTGCAATTAAACACGTTGCTGGAGGCCTGTCATACCCACCATTTACGCTTTTCTGGTAACGCGAGGATCTGGTTTTCACCCTCTTCGTTCTTTTCTTCGAGCAAGGAAAAGGCGGGTGCAGCGGAGGGGTTTGGTTCGTTCGTTCGTTTGTTCGCTTCGGCTCGGCTACTTACCTATGTACGGAACCGGAGATCGATATCTGAAGTGAGCCTGAACCGTGATGGTGGGTTTGTCACTTTGTGTCTCGAGACGGTGTATCGGGCCCTAGTTGGAACGCTCAGCTACATATCCAATGCAAAATGGTATGAAAATATGTAAGTAGGTAAATATGTATCTACCCCTCTCCCCTTTCCCCCCTAAATCTTTTTTAACTTCAGCTTCACATAGCCACCATGCATATACACACATAGGACTTTAGAACCATCGGCAATCTTACCCACGATGCACGCAGCAAGTGGAGAGAATCAAGATAAAGAATAGGTACTCTATCCTTAGAATAGGTGTCCCCTTGGCAATTGGCGCCGTGTACGGTAGAGTATCTAGCCGGTATGTATGGTTTAAGCTCGATTCATACTCCTGGTCCTCAAAGAGGTAAGCCATGACGGGCCCTTCCCGCAGGCTTCTGGGAGTAGATGTGCTTACCGCGGTTTCCAAGAACCCGAGAGACATAAAAAAAGAAATTCTCCAACCAGCCTTACCCTCTCACACGTGGGTGGCATTCACAGAATCACAGACATTCGAATGCGCAGAGGAGCTTTTTAGCCAAATAAGTACTCTATGTAGGTGCTTGCTCCAAGAAGATACTGCATGACGTTCGTATATATCCTAGTAATAATAATAATAATCCTACCACATTTAAGCTTTAGATACTGACCGATGGCTAGTAAGTAGTAGTAACCCAAGTGTCGCAATTATGTCGAAAAGGTCACGTGCAAGCCCCCACCCCTACTCTCCAAGGTTAAATTCAGGGTTGCCAGATTAAGAACCGGTTGAATTGAAGATGTTTGAACTCAATCAAAGAATAGTAACGCTATTGTTTCTTGCCTCCTCCTGCATAGGTGGCAGAGCGAGGGCTGTGTCCGCACTTCAAGAGTAAATTCTGTCCTGTGAAGGGGGTTCCTTAAGCCACTAAGCCATCAGTTTTGCCGACGACTCCGTCCTATAACGGTGTGGCTTGTGGTATGGTAGCAGGTTGACAGTCACCAAAGAGGTAACAGCATAGGTTGAAGGAAGGCGGCTCCTGCGCGGGGTACATATTTTCTCAGACAGTTGTTGGTTTATGCATCAACAGTCATCGCCGGCGATACATATATATTCCCGGTGTGGCTTAGGTGCTGCACAGACGTTCAACGTTGTCACGCCGTCACGTAGTGGGCAACAACCTCATTCGCCAGGTTAATCTAAAGCATCTAAGGCATGAATTTCGGTAGTAGCCGAAGCGCAAAAAGATACGCTAAGATAACAGGGGCGAATGAGAGTAGAGGATACCGCCAAGGGTCATTGTGACCCTCGTCATAACCACTTGTTACCAGGTAAAATTATCAACTCCATGCTTTTGGGTACCCGGAACCCTATGATATTCCTCAGTAGTAAGAACAATAACCAAAGGACTCCCTTTTGGGATATAAGATAAACTCTGCCGTCTCTCTCCATCGAAATGGCTTCTTGCTTTTTCCTTTCCTTTCCCGGGGACAGGCTTCCCGTCTCTATTAGCTGCCTCAATTTGGACATTACACAAGCTTAAATTGACTCCTTGTTTTACAAAGATTCAAATTCCTTTTGAGTGCTATTTCGGGCCGTTCTCGTATATTTTTGTAACCGATTCTCTCAGACATTTGGTGATCCGCCTGCAGTAATAGTAGAGTACTGACTAATGAGTGAGAGATTAAGGGGATAACAAATAAGGATTGACCACTTTAATATTCTTGTACTTTCCCAGAGCGTCTATTCAAAACCCTTATTAGCTAAAATTTGAATTAAGCCTAGGTGCTTAAGTGCACAACCGGGCCATTGGTGGTGTGGAACAGGCTATCGAGAGGAGATAGTCCTGTTGGCATGAATATGGCAATCATTGCCTCTTTCCTGTGCTATCAGTAGCTAATTCGGCGGTAAATGATCTCAAAGGCATGTATATTGAACACGAGGTTCAATTAGCTGTGCCGCATCGTACTGCATAAGATATGACCTATTGATTGGTCCCATAAAGAATACTATCAAATCACAGAGAACTAAATTTTCTAGGAGCACTAACCATATATGTACACACCCATTTATTGATTTGTCAATATTCAGCCTCGAAACAAGTTTATCATTGTCATTACCTTGTAGGCTGCATGGCTAGGTGGAGTCCAGGATGGTGGGTTCAGGTTCCGGATTTTTGGAAACTAAAATCTATCGAACCCTATGGAAAGTCAACATGCATAAATCACTCGATACCCACAATGTTTTAAAGCCTGACATGTTGTTCTAGCAAAAATCCCAGGAGCTAGTAAGGAATATGGCGTCTAAGAAGGAACTTGCCCACCCACACAAGCAGATAATAATATCTCACCTTGCGAGTGAATTGTACCATATATGCAGCCATCCCGAACTATCCACCGGCAAGAATTTCCATCCAAATGCGCCTTCTCTCCTGCAAGATATAGGAGTAACATGACCAGACATCTCTAAACGGGCTACCAAAGGTGTCGACTTTAACCCAATTCCTGTATTCGAACGATTACGGCGCCAAATTTGTTTGCCCCGCACCTATCGAGACTGGCCAGGGTTCTGAAATGTGATAACTGGTGCCAGCACATTGGTTCTTGGTAGAGCCGTCCCCTCCTTTGGATATAGATATGAAGACCTTTCCTCTTCCTTTTCCACTGCCAAGCCGCCCACCCAAGAAGTGGTTAGTATGAGGCTTCAGCTGTCAGCGGCAGGCTGAAGTTTTAATGCTGATGCGAGGTGGGTGTTATGGCACACCGATCATGGGATCGGAGGTTCGGTGTTTTCACATTTTGAGTGGGTACGCATAGTTGTAGGCGCCTGATACCATGTAGCTGAGAACATACTTTGTATGCATAATATATGATAGAGGAAGAGGCCATCATTCGTGTTGAGTTAAAACTCAAGATGGTTCTCTGATTCGTCCGATAATAGTTCCTGTTCCAACTTAGTAGACTCTGCTAAGCATCGAGTTGTCGGGGGCATAAGAGGCACGATGAAGGGGTTAATTGGGAGGAGACTTTGAATTTGGATGAGATTTGACCGTGACATATTGCCCAAGCCAGCATTGTGGGGTGGAAGTTGAAAGGATGGAAGTTGAAAGGATTGACTATCATGGCCTAGGCAAAAGTTCCCACTCAAGCGAAGGGCGGCAATAATCAGTATTTGGCTTCAAGCAAGTTGCCTTAGGGCTAGGATCAGTGCTTACTACACTATGCGTTTCTGTATGTACAAATATTACAGAGCTTGGTGGAGGCTGGAGTGCGCGTGCATAATGAACAAAAGCAACCTAGAGTTTATGGATCACGCCCAAGTGCCAACGTGAGCGCGGGTGCGGTTATTCGTATAGTAAACGCGTAAGGTTTTGATGCAAGCGTTCAAGCGCATCAAACATCCTAAACGCCCTACCTATACCTAACCCTGTATCATAGTCCGGTTGCTGACTCAACGTTGGGGATGCAGATCAAAAGCTTAATGGAGATGGTATAGAGTACGTATCCTGATGATCCTTGGTTTCGTACCCGGGGTAATTTCTATTTCTTCACAGAAGTATCTGCGGTATATTACTGGTGTCTTTCAGAGTGCCCCCCCCCCTGCCATGTTTCTATACATAAATGTCAGATAACAGAACAATAAGCTTTTCAATACATGTTTCACAATGCCACGCGGTTTACGTGACGTAGTGAAAATACGTAGGGCTGAGAACACTTATGAACTTTTAACCAATCATGACTTAAGGTTCTATGAACGTCGACGGTCTGTAACAGCCTGTTTGAATCTCTCCATTCCTCTCAAAGTACCTGCAACCAATACCAACTCTTTATCACTGTATTTCATGATTATGGCACACATTTATAAATGATATGGAGCGTATTATTCGCTACAAAAATACGAGGTTGGTCGAGCATCTCAAGTACGTGGACATCCGCGTATCCGCCGAGTGCTGTATTTATCATGATGCCAACGATAGGTACAGCGGGCATCCTGCACGAACCTCAATAAATCCGGCAGCATTCTAGGCCCTTTCCGTTGATTAATTTACAAAACCTCACCTCGAGATGGTCATACCGTTGCATTCCACGAGGAAATAGAGTAATGCTACGGAATAGTTCTTATTTCCCGAACATTAACATCCCTGTCAACATGTACTAACTCACTCTCGTCTGCACCTGTCAAAGAACGCCTCTACACGATGCGCAACGGTCCCGTGAAATAGATTATCGGGCATTTGAACCATGTTACCCCACTTGAACCCTGGTGGGGCATTTAGACTCAGATGCCTCCCCAAACGGTCCCTTTCATACTTCACGGAAAATTTGGACCAATCGAATTCATGTTTCTACATTTATGTAGTAATGATTCTCTCGTCGAATATATCGGCACATGGTTTGAGAGTGCCGATCTCAGCAGGGCCGGAGAATAAACTCCAGGTTTTGCCCTTTCACTCTCAATATAATACCCGGCCCGTTGTTCCCGTCGGTATATATGCACGGATATCCCGAATCCTGGAGTCAACAAGCTTAAATCCAAGGAAGAATAGTGCCTTGCAGAAATTGCGGACAACCAAGCCCGGTAGTAAGCATGACCTCCGCACGTACGCACTGTCCACTTACTGTTCGCGGCGGTCCGTCCGGGAGACGGTCCGAAATTTGGCCGTCGATCCTGTTGCCCTGGGCCGATGTCCTCTTGCTTCCTTGGAGGGTACCTCAATTTATACTGCTGTCGATAACCATAAAGAGAAAACTAACCTGCATCCTCCATGCAGTTCTCTCTGCGTAGACCCTTGTGGATAGGATACAAGAGCAAGCATAAGCCGGAATATTCTAATTATCAGGCGGTCACAGCAGTTGAACATTACGGCACTTTTGATCCGATACCCTGATCCGGACATGAAGTCCAAATTGAAGCTTCAAAGTATCCAAGAGGCATGAGAGTTCATATAGAGTAGTGGAGATATCTGAGCCGTTGAAGCTCTATATAAACTCGCAATTTCTCCTTTTTGGATAATACTGTCTCATCCCACATCTCGACAACTTTCTAGTCTTCAAGCCAAGCATCACCAATAATATCCACCATGGTCCGCTTCAGCACCCTCGCCCTCGGAGCTCTTCCAATGCTCCTGTCAGTTCAACAAGCGGCCGCTGTTAGTGGAACTGGTAGCACTACCCGTTACTGGGATTGCTGTAAGCCCAGCTGTGCCTGGACTGGAAAGGTATGTGATAGTATTTGCTACTAGCAATGTTTAACGGTTTTGCTGATCAGATATCTTGAATGAAACCAGGCTGCAGTGACATCTCCCGTCAAGACCTGTGATGCAAACAACAACGTCTTGACAAATGTCGACGCAAAGTCTGGCTGCGACGGTGGAGTCGCCTTCATGTGCAACAACCAAATCCCATGGGCCGTGAGCGACACTCTAGCCTACGGATACGGTGCCGTCAGAATCACGGGCCAGACCGAGTCTGACTGGTGCTGTGCTTGCTATGAGCTCACTTTTACCTCTGGCCCTGCCTCTGGGAAGAAGATGATTCTCCAGGCCACAAACACTGGTGGTGATCTTGGGAACAACCATTTTGATATCGCTAGTAAGTTTTTCATAACGCTTGACAGATGTCTCACTGCATTGCGTTGCATTGCCTAATGTGGATTGATTGGTTTTAGTGCCTGGCGGTGGTGTCGGTATCTTCAACGGATGCACCGCCCAGTACGGCGCGCCCTCGGACGGTTGGGGCCAGAGATACGGTGGTGTTAGTAGCAGATCTGAGTGCGACGCTCTTCCTGCTGCTATTAGGGCTGGTTGTTACTGGCGATTCGATGTATGCACCCCATCCTGACTTTTCGAAAAAAAATGCAGTGTATTGATCGCTGACTGATGCTGTTTGATTAGTGGTTTGGCGGATCTGATAACCCGACTGTCAGCTTCCAGTCTGTTACCTGCCCGGCGGCATTGACCGCCAACACCGGGTGCACTCGCACTTCATAGAGCGGGAACGTGGGGTGCTTACTGCAAGTAGAGTACGGTACATGACATGATGAAGTTTTGAGATGAGATGAGCTGTACTATAGTAGATTGACACTTATTCAACGATGGCAATGATTTGTACTCTAGGTTGTAAATAGCCAACCCGTGAAGAAAGAATAGCAATCAGAAAATGCCCTAAGCGTGCATTGCATATGCGATTCTCCCTCCCCGTACATACCACAGAAACCCGCGATCTCGGTAAGCGAACTTCAAATAAGTCTATATCAGATTTGATCGGGCCAAACATCGAGTTTGGTTTTGCACAAGTCATGCATCAGATGATAAGTCTGGTATATCGGGGCTAGAGTATGTACATGGACATGTAGTGTACGCTCCCCATTCTGATCACGAGGATAGAGAGCCCATAATTCTTACTGAACAATTAACCATTCCAGCTCCTCATCCCGATGGAATCGGAATCTCAGGCGGATACTTGCAGCGCCATGTAATGTAGGCAGAATACACTCCACCCCACAGTCACAATCATGTACTCCACCGAAATGCGGGGTTTAGCCGGTCTGTAGTATGTAGGTCAAGCTGAGGGACCGACAAGAAGCGACCTGCAGATATCACCGATTCGATTCAATCATGATCTCTTGGCGGTTAAAACTCATGTACATTGCTGCACAAACAAACCGGGGCGCCATTATTTTTTTTACACTGATGACATCGATACTCTTCTCTACTCTGCCGCCACGCCCGCTGTTGTTGTTATTGCTGCTGTTGTTGTTTTGAGTCGGCGAGGTGGAATATTCTCTCGAGTGAGTTAGACGCCATCATGTGTTTGAGACAGCGATTGAACTGGGTTTGATTCCCGACAGCGTGTCTTGCCTGCAACGGAGGCGTAGATAGAGAAACAATCCCGCGAGAAACAGCCAGCGCGTCATGATCTGATCAGTGCTTGCGTGTGAAATATGTTTGATGATCGACCGTTTTGTTTGCGCACGCGAGGGAGATCTGCAGTGCACGTGCGGCACGTGTTTTGAACTTTTGATTGGCTCCGTGGGGGGTTTCGGGGAGGGGCGGGGTGTGGGGGCAGCTAAGGGCGGTGAGTGATTATTTGTGATTCGCTTATAGGTGTTTGTAGATACGGGGAATCGAGAGGGGGATGGGATCAGAGGCGCAGTAATAAGTGGTAGAGCATGATCGGAAAGAGGTTAGGATGCTCGATTCCCTCCCTACTCTGTGCTGTGTTGTGTGACGCTGATGCTGTACTCCATATCTAGAGGGTTCTATTTGTATAGAGTATCATATCGATTGTCAGTCAGCGGGAGGACTGGCTGGGCTCGATGCTGATATGGTGCGTGTCAAGGCGGGGAACGCGTGGGAATCCGTTGGGACCGGTATCTAATAGTGAACCCCGGGTTTGCGGGGAAAGGGGGCGGGGTTTTCCCGGGTTTGAATCGATCGTATTCATGCGGTCTTGAGCTTATATCGCGTGTGGGGAGCGAAGTGAGTAAGGGAGTAAGTGAATGTGGTCTGACCTACAGCCCATTGAGTTATGGGCTTTAGGTCTGTGAGAGTGATGGCAGTGTATGTTAAGGTTGGGTCCGTGTCCAGGTCTGGCGGGGATGGAGGGTGGATGGCCGTCTGATAAGGTCCATGGCTAGCTGGGCGGAGGGCGGAGGGTATACAGGCGGTCGTTGTGGAGCTTGTTGAGAGGTAGGGTGAGATTCTGAAGTGATTTGATTCGTCAACCCATATATACATGAAGTCGCGGTTCGGACAGGTTAGTACAAGGTTTGAACGGATCATATTCCAACTCTTCGGGTTTCAAAGCTGTCAATTTGAAAGCTGGGACATCTGACACCAATATATGTGAAGACAAGCCGCTGTTTTAGTTTTTGATTGTCTCATCAGGAGTTGAGAGAGAAGTACCGATGTATTAAAAGAAGAGGGGGAGAAGGAAGTCCCTTTATAGTTACAGCGAGAGAACGGCTTGTTCACAAGTACAGATAGTCCGAAGCAAAGATGTATGTACGTACATGTAGTTGTCCGCAACAGCTGCAATCGCTTGCTGCGAGTAACAGTTCTACCAAGTTACATGAGTACATGCATCCTCCCGGCTACATGTATGTATGGTTCGATAACGAACGAGTGATAACTTGTGGTTCTGTCTTGATCCATCAACCGCAACCAATCCACCAACCCACTAACCCCCACCCCGTCCTACACTGACCGCTGTACTTATGATCCGCTTATGCTAGATAAGGGCACATGGAATCATTTGTCTCGTATCTGAAGAAGACACAACGCGTGGTCTGTAGCGCAAGTAAGTAGTTGTTTTAGTCATAAGATATCACTCGGGACGGGAAAATGTCGGTTATCGTCTCTATCGACGTGACCATGTGCCTGGCCATGTGCCTGTAGCTAGAATTATAGTCTCTATCTATACCTCACCCTTGAGATTATAGCAAGGAAGGGGGCGATCCTATTAGTTTCTCTACCACAACTCATCCCTCGGCTCCATATGAATTAAACAACAAAAAAAAAAAAAAAAAAAAAAAACCCTCGGTGTAGTATTTGCGCCCTGCACCTCCGTAACAAAGCCAGGCCGCACCACATTTTGGTTGTATTGAGTCTGATAGACGAGTAGAGCTACGATTCATGTTTACAAATAACGGCAGTGCTAGAGTTAGCCCCGCGTTACCTGGAAGAGTGAGTGACTGGATTTTGTCGGTCAATCAGGCCCCGGAAAAGTGGTAATTGGTTCTAAGTCCTCTGCCTAAATATTTGGTTATGACTCTGCCTCTTACAACAGGCCCAGTACGTTTTTGTTATGAGGCGTTGTGACTAAAGACTATGCCTCCGGGTCCCCTGGGTCGGGGGAAGTTTTGTGCATCGCAAGACTTTGCTAATCCATGGGTCGTATATAGAAACATCTATTAATCAATGCCTCTGGAGGAGGTAGTTTGACTACCGTTAATCTCGTAGACTAACCAGGTTTTCTGCCGGTCTGTTACAATAGGACATTGCCAAATTGAAAGGGCGTGCATATGAATCGTAAACCCAACTCTTATGCATACAGTCTAACTTCATCCTGATATTACTGATGCAACGTAACTGAACTTGCGCAAGGCTTTGGCTGTAAAGTATCGGACAGATTTAGTCCTACTGTCTCCCTGAAAGAACGCCGAAGATTGCCACGATACACTACATGTAGCTTATACAATGGATACCACTCTTGTTTACTGCCATTCCATTGTATGTATCATGGGCCCGTTTTTCATAGGTCCCCAGTACATGTTTTGACGAGGAAATAAAAATAAAAAAATATAAAAAAACGGCTATATAAGTTTCCTTTTCCGGGGCTCGAATCATGGGTGCTCACTCGATCTTGTAACTCAAGCGAGGCGAGATGAGATTTCTCGTGGAGAACATTGATTTCCAGCAGACGGAGACTATCCTGAAGTGTGTAAAGCATTTCGGGATACAGCGTGTGTGCTGCTATTAATTGTAACAGTGTGACTTTGTTCTGGGCCAGAGCCTAAAGACCTCAGCTACTTGATGGTTGTAATTGTCTATGGGTAGACCGTTCGACGTTTAATAATTGATGTACGGCCCGAAATTGATAACCCAGCCCAGTCACTGTTGTAACATGGACTGTTCGACCCCCGGGGCAAAACACCAACAATGGTTCTCTACATGTAGCTATGAAAGTTTTACTTCTGTAGGATCCAAACCACGATCTATCTGGCTGGTCGGGCTGATCAAAAATTGCCCGGTCTAGCCCAGCGCTGAATATATATGGCCTGGTAAATGCTCCAGGCGAGTGGTGAATTATGGCTATCCCTGGCTGTTGGGACCCCTGGAACTTCAACTTAAATTCAACTCCTGTGAGTAGCGTGCCCATTCATGATGTGCTTTCATGGGCGGCAAACATTAATTGCAAGATTCCAGCTGGTCCCCTCAAAGTACTGCATCAAGCACCAATTAATTGCCTGGCGGTCATGTAGTGAGCATGACCCGTTTGGGTATGGATGACATGCATCGTTGTCCTATTTATATCTTCGTATCCAGATGTTTTGTCGTATCGTATCGTATCGGAACCTTCCCCAGAACCCTGCCTGTGGAGCTTCGATAAAAGTGTTTGAGGAAAATGAATGAGCTACCTACGCTTTGGTATCGGTCTTGGCAAATACGATCTAATCTAATCTTGATCTTAAGGATAGGGTTAGGGCTGTGATCTAGATTGTCATTGACACTGTGTGCGAAACTGACTTCAGGCCTGTCTTTATTTCTAGAATTACAAATACTTCAACCTTTACGTCGATCTGTTGCCATACACGCATGTATCGGATGCATGATTATTTTTTCAGCTCTAAGATGACGGCTTGTCAGGTACGATACGGAAGTGTGGAGGCTTAGTCATGTTTGGCGTTGCAGCAATGGGCCAATCGGGCACTTGTCCTCGAAAACGATCCAAATTAAGGACCCACGCACATCGCACCCTGGCTGAGGAAGACGTCGAAGAAGAAAGGTGGACGGAAAATTGTCCCTAGTCTAACCTCTTCCCCCTTTTGTGCTTGTCCTACCACCTGTCAAGCCGACAAACCTCAAACACCTCTCCCCCCATCATCATCATCATCACTTTCTCTTCCTTCTTTTCTTTCCATTCTCGCCCTTGCCTAGGCTTCGGCTTTCTATTGTACCCGAACTTTTATTTATTGTCTTTTCGCGGGCTGGCATCTCGCCCCTGCTTTCTCTGTTTTTCATCATTGTGTAGTCCGGTATATATCTCTCCATCCAGCTTCTGGAACATTTGCGCCTGACTACCTGCCAAGGTGCTGCTGCTTGCGAGCTCTGAAACTGACTCTCCGCCCGTCTTGACAGTTACTCGTTTATATCCACAATGGCCGCTCGCGCACTGCGTCGTTCCAATCCTATAACGCTCCTGCTGGGGCTCCTGCTCTTCCTGGGCTTCCTAATCTTCATGATAACCCCTTCATCACCATCTGTTCCTAGGGTCGGGTCCAAATCGCGAAAGAGCTATTCTGGCTCCTACGATGCACCGCCGGTGGTTCACTACTATCTCAACAATCTCACAACCTCCAGCGAACCCATCAAGAACCGCGAAAAAGTGCTACTCCTCACACCCCTAGCTCGCTTCTACGACGAGTACTGGGCCAATCTTGTGAAGCTCAACTACCCACATGATCTTATCGAGCTCGGGTTCATTGTTCCAAAGACACGCGAGGGCAATGCCGCTCTCGTTAAGCTGGAGGAAGCGGTGAGGAAGGTACAGACTGGAAAGAAAAAGGACAGATTCTCGGGGGTGACGATCATCCGCCAAGACTTTGACACCCCTGTGGCCCAAAGCGAGAAGGATCGCCATGCGCTTGCTGCGCAGAAGGCACGAAGAGCTGCAATGAGCAGAGCTAGAAACTCGTTACTCTACACCACTCTTGGAACCGATACCGCCTGGGTTATGTGGTTGGATGCAGATATCGTTGAGACCCCCCCCACTCTCATTCAGGACCTTGCCAAGCACGATAGGGCTGTCATTGTTCCGAATTGCTTCCAGCGCTATGCCGAGAATGGTGTCAAAAAGGTCCGGCCGTACGATTTCAATTCATGGCACGAGTCGAATGACGCCCTGGACATGGCAGCGAAGATGGGACGTGATGAAATCATCTTGGAAGGATATAAGGAAATGGCGACCTGGAGGTCATTGATGGCCTATGAAAGGCAGGAAGGCCAAAGCATCCACACTGAGACGACATTGGATGGTGTTGGTGGGACGGCATTGTTGGTGAAAGCGGAGGTGCACAGAGATGGGGCTATGTTCCCGCCCTTTGCATTCTACAATCTCATTGAAACCGAGGGTTTCGCGAAGATGGCAAAACGATTGGGACATCAACCATATGGTCTGCCGAATTATTTGGTAGGTTTCTTAGCTCATCTGTATGGGAAAACTAGAACTAACAGGCGACAGGTCTACCACTATAATGAATAATTAAAGAATTTCGTATCATGATTGACAGCCCTGTCCTGAATTGTCGTCAATATATATTGCCCCAAAAAATTTAAGTTGCAATTTTGTCACTTTGCGGGTTGCGTTATCACTCGGCTGGCTTGAGGGATGGTTGTTTTTTCCCTTGGGGCTTTAATTAAGCCTCACATTTTTCAATACCCAATTGGACTGTTACTCTGTTTCCATAATTGTTTCTATTATTCTTTATATTTATTTTCGGATTGCGTTTCATGGATTTTTTTTCTTCTACTCTTACTTAGTTATGCTCTTAAAAAATGGTGTGGTGTGTATAGGGACATGTCGTGTGTTTTTTCATTTGCGCTTGTTTGGGTTTCGATTGACGGACTTGGTGAGGGAATAGTTAGAAAAATCGGGAGGTGGAGTGGAGGTACTTGTGCCAATTCAATTCGCGATCAGGTTTAAAAGCCGATACCGAACATAAGTCGATTGTTACCATGATGGCCGGCGCGTGCATTGAGAGAGAAACCACAATCCGCATACTACGACGTACCAAAATGGAGAGATTTGGTATTCTCGCTAGTAGCCGGGAGAGTTGAGGGTGGTGCCTTTGTTAACCTGACCTTGGGCTGATTCCGCGGACTGTCTGGGTCCTGAGTTATTAACCGAACTACCAAATAACTGAGTCCCTACGTCGAGTCTCTAACTTGACCAAGTCCACAGGTCGAGTCAATTCACCAGTCTTGTGGACTCACTTAGTCGATCGGCGACTCGAGATCAGTCATGCTAGAATGGTGTGATGAGGGGTAAAGAAGAAATCCCGCCTCGTCATTTCCATGGCCGACGAGGTGTATCACGTAATACTTTCCTCTGGCGGGGTGAATGAGTATTTTCGGCTCCATTACCCAATGCAGACGTCATCACGAACTGTCACTCGCGGCGGTATTCTGCGGCCGCTAGCGTCGTCACTCGGCGGCCAGTTCCATTTATGTAAGCACCGCTGTGCAGGATACGCGGCTGTCATCCACATACGGTGCTGTATGCTACAGCTGTGAACCTATGGCGAGGAACAGCTGGGGGCATGGCAAGGTGTCCTCAATCATGCTGTATAAAGCTAGCTAGAAACCTTCGTGGTCCTGTTGATTTTGCCATCGTCTCTTGATCTCTTGTCCAATCGTTTGGCTCGGAACACACACTCTACTGCCCCACAGCACCACTATATATAAAAGGAGGGGCTTGCTACACTGAGGGGGTGTGAATGCTTCTGAGTGGATTCATACAGCGCTGTGGGAACACTACTAGGCTCGATTTTCGATAAATATGGACTCCGGAGTTGTTGCTCGTTCGTGCCAGCCTAGACCCCAACGCGAGAGAGGGGATTCCCCTCAACATCAATAAACCGAGGAGCAAGTAGTATTCTCCGAGCAGCTGGTTCTTACGCATTTGCTCAGTGCCCATTTTTGGAGCAGAAAACGACGGCTATATAAGAACAAGCCATGTCTCCCCGCACGAGGGCCTCCCAACCCAGTCCCAAAAAACTTATCACTCTCTTTTCACCCCAGTCGTTCATTTAATGAAACACGATTCACCGCTAGCCCTCTGGGCTCTGGCAGGCCTTTTTGGCACTGGTATGTGCCGACTGCGAATGCGTTTTCTTCTTACTTACCTGGGCCCGTGCTAACATCACCACCGATCACTCACAGCCCTATCGATCCCGCTCGCGCAGACACCATACTACGCCTCCCGCTTCCCCCAGCACCCGCAGAACCTTGGGTATGGCGGCGACTACCCAAAGTACTGGCAGGGCGAGGCCTACAACCCCGAGGTTGCCCCCGGATACAGCGGCCCCGCTTCTGTCGTTGCTCCCGAGACCGAGAGGAAGGAGCAGCGTCCTTCCTTCACCGATACCAAGTATCCGGCTCGTGAGGCCATCAAACACTACTCCGGTAGTGGCTTCCCTGGAAGCGGCCCATCAGAGGATTCTGGCAATGGCCAGAACATCAAGATCACCAATGACACCCCAAGTGACAATGACAAGAGCTATACCCGCATCACCAAGGGCCCCGGTGTTGGCCTACGCAAGAAGAAGACCACTGGTGCTGCTAAGGCTACCGAGGATGAAGCCGAGGAGCCCGAGCACCGCTCTGGCGGCCTCGAAGATATTGCTGATCTAGCCACCCCCAAATTCGACGGCACCATCCCGTCTGAGGAGCAGGAGGAGCAAGACGGTAACTGGGGCTCCTTCACCTTCGGCGTCGTCAGCGACTCCCTCGTGTACCACGACCCCTACGAGAACCGCCATGACGAGTTCGAGCGCAAGACTGACGCCCTCTCGAAGATTGAGAGGATGATGGGCAACAGCTTCGTCGGCTCCTCCGACGTCGTCGATAAGCGTTCTTTGGGAAAGCGTGACTGGCCTGAGCATATCCAGGAGAAGGCGCTCAAGATGATGGACAGCGCGGCCACCATGCAGACCAAGGGGCAGAAGACAATTGACAACGACCCGCAGTCCCAGGCGTCCTTGAAGGGCCAGGAGGTCCCGGCCTCCGAGCCTGCTCAGAATGCCGGCCCCAAGAACACCTTCCCTGTCGGCCCGAACTCCAAGAAGGCACAGGCCGCACAGGCTCCTCCTCCTCCTCCTCCCCCGCCAGCTCCGGCTGCCCCTGCAGAAAGACAGCTCGGCTCTGGAGGCGGTGGACTCGTCCCCCCGCACAAGGCCGGGAAACTCGCAAAGACCAAGGGGCAGGATCCCCCTGCTCTTGGTAACCCAACACCTCCCGCTCCCCAGCAGCAGGAGCAGCCGTCCCAGCCTATGGGCCGCCAGCAGGGAAACATGCCGAACCAGGGCAGGGGCAAAAACCCACAGAGACCTCAGGGAAGGGGGCCGGGAGCACAGAGGCCCAGGAACAAGGCCCAGGAAAAGCTGAGGTCCCAACAGGAGCAGCCTAACCTCATGAAGCGTCAGATTGCTGTACCTGCAGGGTAATCTTCACGAATTCTCACTCGGATGTGTTGAAAAATACTAACATTGACAGACCCGGATATCCCCCCGGAACAATGATCACCCGCATCACCCGCCCTCCCGCTCCTGCCCCTGGGCCTGCAGCTGCAGTCCCAGCCGCAGCTGCAGCCGCGCAAGCCCAGTCTTGCGGGCCTGCTGATGGACAATGCCGCCAGATCTACGACGGCCAAGTCCAGGCCTTCCCAATCTCCGCCCAAGAGGCACAGGCCCAGAGGGCTGCTCCCGCCCAGTTCGCCACGGTTCAGCAGGTTGCTCCGGTCCAGCAAGTCGCACAGGTCCAGCGTGTTGCTCCCGCACCCGTCCAGTACATCGCACCGGTCCCAGTCCCAGCCCCGGCCCCGGCCCCAGTTTACATTCAGCAGCAGCAGCAGCAGCAAGCCGCCCAGGTCGCTACCATCCCGGTGACAAGGGAGCAGGTCCAACAAGTCGGCTACAACGCCATTGTCCACCCCGGTCAGGTCATCTGCCCCGAGGGCAAGCCGTGCCCGCATGCCGCAACTGTCTTCGAAGAGAGGGAGAGGACCGTCCTTAAGCCCGTACAGAAGGTGACTGAGGTCGAGGTTACCCGCGAGGCTGTCCGCGCGGTTCCAAAGCTCGAGCCGGTCGAGGTGACCCGCTACGTTGACGTTGAGAAGGAAGTGCAGGTCGAGAAGGTGGTTGAAGTGTGCGAGACCTGTGTTGAGAAGCAAGTCGAGGTCCAGAGGCCGAAGGTCATTGAAGTCTGCTCTGAGTGCAGGGAGGTCGTTGGTGACTGTAGCTGTCCTGGGGGCGAGGGTCATCATGAGAGCTTTAGCAAGTCCGTTTCAAAAGGAGAGGAGACTATCTCGTATAAGAGCGACGAGGGAGATGCGTACCTGGCGGGACCAGTGAGCACTCCGGGAGGCTTGGAGGCATTCTTCAGACAGAGGATGCCAGAGCACTTTGACAACTAAATATCTGTACCAGTGAGCTGAGCTTACCCGCGAGCAGGGTGACGGATAAGTTATAGATATTAGAATTTGCTTTTTGATTGCCGGATGAACTTATTATTTTGAAAAGGTCAATGATATGGGAAACATGATGTTGTAGATATCACTCACAGCTGTAGAAATCGTAGAACGGACTGTATGCATGGAGAGGGGGTACCGCAGCTTTGTTCTCGGTGTTTTTGTCCCTCCTTTCCATGCACACAGTCTGTTTTGTCATTTCGTAAATGGTCTGTTGAGTGGAGTCTTGCCTCATTGTGTTTCCTTCAAAAGATATTTCTTTTCATTTTTGGCTAGTATGCTTTGTATGAGAAATGATAACGAATTGTATATTGTCTCGGAACAACGAGCTAGATTTCCCAACCTTGAAATAAACAATAAAATAAAACCCAGAGAAATATGAACAAAATAAACCAGGTGGTATCTTATAACTAACCCAAAAACCAAAGACCCAAACCCTCAAACCCTCAAAACCCATCCGCCTCAATCCCCGCAGCACTCTCATCCGCCAACCTCTTATCATTCATATCCCACCACCACTTATGCGTCGGCTCCTCAATACCTCTATCCTCCCACGGCTTCGGCGACAAAATATAGTGCACATTCTTGACCTCCTCATCCCTCCAAATCTCCTTATGGCACCACCGCAGCGTCTTGAGCGCATTATACACATACGGCAGCGGCCGCCACCGCCCCGCAAACACATCCGAGATGAGCGTCTGGTCGGCAAACCCATACTCATCCGTCTTTTTCGGATCCAGCAGCGCCGCGGTGATGAGCTCGTAGTTTGCGAGCGACGGGCTCACGACCTGCAGCCCGCCGTTGCACTGGCCGATCCCCGTCGTGGACGGCGCGCCCTCGGTCTGTGCGGCGTCCGGGTTGCTGTGCTGGTGCGTGAAGCCGCAGTTGGATGGGATCCAGTCGGCGGGGTAGAAGGGGATCTTGAGCGGGTTGCAGACGCAGGCGTGCGATGCGGCGAAGATGTTGTCCGCAAGGGGCACGTCCATGAGTTCGTCCATGTTCTGGAGGACGAGCATGTCGGCGTCGAGCTGGACCACGCGCTCGTACTCGATGAGAGAGAAGGGCTGGAGCTTGCCTGTTGCCCATTCACCGTCTAGTCAGCGGCCGAGTGAGGGGGAGGAGGAAGGAGAAGGGAGGGGAGGGGGGAACATACTCCAGCAGTCGTAGAAGCGCGGAGTGTTACTAAAGTCTTTCGACGCCTTTGGCAGTAGGTACTCGATGCGCATCTTTGGGATGCGGCGGCGGTCGAGAGCGGCATGGCCCGCGGGCTCGAGGGTGTCGGTGTATAGCACCACCAGCGGGTATTTTGTTTTTACGCGCTTGAGGGAGTAGTCGAGCAGGAGCAGCCCGGTGAGGTATTTGGTGTTTGTCAGGAGGACGGTCCAGACTGGTGGTTGTGGGGTGTTAGTAGGGTTTTTGATGGATCACGGCAGCTGGAAGGCCTGAGAGCCTGGCTTGAGGACTTTGGGAGCTGACAAGCGCTTGGTTCTGGCTGGTGGGTAGGAGAGAGAGAGGGGTGGGTGTAATACCTTTGGGCGAGTCGACGACTCGTTTTCTAAGCTCGGTGGTCATTGTAGCTGGTTTGTCGATGGATATAAAGAAGGTAGAGGAGGAGGAGGAGGAGGGGATTCGAAACATCGGGAGAAGGGTATCGAGTTTATATACCAATAAAACCGTGGAGTTAGCGCGGGGCACGGAGCGGGGTAGGTTCCTGTGGATCAGTGCATGCAAACCCGGCAGTGCGGGATAATGTATAGCTCGACATTGTATGTATAATAAGCTAAGAGCGGTGGTCCCGGCAGTTGGGGGGCTTGGGGGTTTTTTTTCGTGAGGATTTTTCGTTTCCGCGCTGCGTTACAATGGGTATCGCTCGTCGCCGACAGGGTCCATATTGCTCGCTTATCGCGGCGGAATGATATATAACGCTGCAGATCTTAAGCACCGAGTGAGAATGTATGAAAAAGGGCGATCTGCCTAAAGTAGAAAAAGAGGAAATATATTTAATTTTTTGCAAACTGAAAATAGGACCCATAAATCTGAGTGATCAAGCCACGCTTAAGCTTCCTTCCTCCCGAATATCAAGTTCACCAAATCAGACAAGAGAGAGACCATAGTGCCAAACAGAAGAAGAAGGAGAAATACATGTATGTATGTCTTTTTTAATGCATTCCACCTCGATAGATTCGAAAACGAGCAACCCTTAGAGAAGCCACATGATAATTCCAGCAAACGACAGCAGCCCCATGGCATTCAAATCGCCACTTCCCACAGCCGCCCCTCTCTCCGCCGTGGCCGTAGGCTGGTTGGTAGCAGTTGTACTTCCCGTGCCAGTAGTAGATGTAACACCGGTTTGAGTGCCCACGACCTTCCTCGTGTACGTGACATCGACGGTCTCCGTGATGTTTCCACACGGTGTATTGGTGGCTGCTGGCACCGTCGTGTAGGTAGTATTGCCATTCATGACGATGTAGGTCGCATTCCCGGAAACCAACGGACACGCAATACTAGTAGACCTGGAGATCACGGTGGTGACGATTTCGTCAACCATGGTAAGGGTGGGAGTAGATGTCTTGGTGCCTGTGCTGGTGCTGGACACAGAGGTGAGGACTCCATAGACTGATGGGAGCTCCGGGGCGCTGTTCCCGGCGAGGTCAACCCCGGCGGAATCGCAGAGCCCGTGAGCGTACTTGAACGAACGCTGGATTGTGTCCTGGTCCTTACCTGTTGGGCTTTGGTGTTAGCAGCGGCAGTGGGATAAAACACTGATGATCATGAGTGCAGATAGAGAAAATGGATATGGGCCGGATACGCACATTTCCCGGAGTTCAAGACGCACTCGACGGTGGCTTTCATGAAGGTGAAGTCTTCACATAGGCAGGGGACTCGTGTTGGGTCAAGTGATTTCTGGGGCCCAACACAGTCGGTGATCCCAGAACCAAGGACGAGTTCGACACATTCAATGACACAGTCGGTGGGACTGAGTGCGTCTTGTGCAATGATGCCGGTGACAAAGGTGAGGATGAAGAGGAACTTGGGGAGCATCATCTTGCGTGGAGTGGATTGGCCGAGATGGAAATTAATGAGGTAGGATGGATAAGCTGCAGAACAAGATGTGAAGGAACTAGTAATGGAATGTTGAGTCGAGGGATGTGTGAAGGAGTGTGGGGAAGTGTGGAGAAGGGGAGGATGGGAGATGAGGGCAAAGGAAGGTAGCAGGTTGGCTATGGGGGGGGAGTCTAATGTGCACAACATAGTTATACATTCGCCATCCCACATTTTTTTTTCTTTTTTTTCACTAGCAGGAATTGCAATGATAGGCTTGTGCCAGACAATCACATAGGTCAATTCAACAAAGAGATTTAATATAAGCCTGCCTTGGCTTTAAATTTCCTATTGAGAACCTTAACCGGCTTGCACATACGGCTGCAGCTGGATAGCTGCAGAGTTGTATACATGTGTCCATCAGCTAGCAACAAACACGAGAGATGGATATAAGAGGTGTTTATATAATTTAATACTGCTAATATACATGTACGTGCTCATGGATTACTGAGAACATGTGCTCAGGACCTATAGTTGTTGGTCGGGGGCGAGACATGCAAACGTTAGTGTGACCCTGTTCAAATTCTATGATAAACATACTTCGAGTTACCTCAGAACCAGAGTATACAGAGTACATGTAGTAGAAGTCTAATTTCCCAGTGAACTACGAGGAGGTTTGAGCATACAAGCTCCATTGGCCAGTGGAAATAAGAAGCTTCCACCAACGTACCATAAGCAAGGTTTGCAATAACTTTGGACCATATAAATATCTGATACTAATAAGTGACGTGTGCAATTAACCGAGATTTACTATCTCCTGTCGTGCACTTGCAAACCAGCAGCCCCCTCAAGTCGAAGCTTATATATTGCGCTTGATCCCGGCTCAGATGCGTTACACTACGGGAGCACCCGCCATGCAGTGACTGGACTATCTGAACTTTTATAAAGCTTATATGTATACAGCGGTAACTACAGGCGTCTTCCTTATGCCTGTAGGGCCCCCCGATTGCACTAGTGTGGCTTATGCGGGCTAGGGACAATGAGCTCCAGAAAACACGGCTCGTTATATAGTCTGCTACCCTCTTGATAAGTTCTATTGACATCCTCTCGTAACTTGACCACAGGCTGGAGTCAATTAACAGGCATATCTTCTATCACCAGAATCAATAAGACAGGCCAATTTTACGTTAGTTTTCCCAGAAAACTCCAACGGTCGATATCACTGACAAACAAATTTCATGTAGTTGCTTACCTAAGCCCACGGAAGCGGCGGTTCAAACAGTTCTCTATCTTATTCTTTCTTTCTTGCTGAGGGTATCAATGACTATGACAACGGCTGATTGCGGTCACTGACTCTATATAGGAGTCTTGTGTGATTGAATAGGATTTTAGCCATGCATCCAACTGATTGAGTATAGTTATACCAGCAGAAGAAAATATTTACCCCTGCGTTTAGCTAATCTTTGAGTCTTCTTGGCGCAAGTCGTTGGAGAGAGGAATAATATTATCTAGTCGATATTTGACACCAATTGGCTCTTTTCATTTTATTGATTGCCGGCAGTGATTATGTCCGCCTCTAAGTGATTCGCCATCAACTTACTATGGAATAAAAAGAGATTTGGGTTTGGAATAATGAAAATAAATTATTACACCGAGGGATATTCGACGGTTGAGGTGAGCGAGTGACCGTCTATGACCTGATGCCTCTCCAAGCCTTCAACCATTGACATGGGTGTTCCAAACAGACAGAAACAGCCCGTCATCCACCTACAAGATCCAGCGCCAAACAGCATACCAGATATCGCCCACCAAGAAACCGGCTTTGGTTTCGAATTTTTCATATAGTCATCCATAAAATATTTTGCTCGGCCGTGTTTAGACCGACCTCTCCGGTGCTACCGGACGCCTTAAGGCCGTCGTCTGTTTATTAATTGGGCATGTTCCAGAAGGATCCATGATCCATGATCTAGGAACACCGTGACCCGTGCTTCCCTGTGCCGACAACTATCCAAATTGGGAAGCGCTAGGAATGAGGCGAGTGATTGCTTGTGAATGGGAGTGTTTGGGGAAATAGCCAGTGCTAAGCGGTAATTCTGTAGCGTTTAAACTGATGATATTGTAAACCGGATTCCCTTGACTTGATGGTTGATGATACCCCCAAGTCTTCGCAGAATCCTGCCCTATTTATACATGTTGGAACCTATGCCAAGGCCCGCTTTCTAATACTAACTGATACAACGATAATAGAATAAGATAATGTTCCCGAAGATAACCCAGATAGAAAAGCGCCCCCGCATAGTTCCGTCCTCCATTCTAATTCCGACACGTAACCATGAACCTTGCAATTGCCAGTCATCGGGCTGTACCATACTATTATCCTAGACCTACTTCCCTAAGTAGAACAGCCTACAGCCGTAAGCTCCGCTTCCTATTCTATTTCGGGTGAGACACCCAATAGTAAGCGTGCCGCCATAATAGTATGGGACTAGTGTGGTAACACCGCGTGCCCCCACTCTACCCGATACCTTTCTATGCTTGTCCTTCCGTTACCCGACCGTCCCTCGCGTCACAACCCGTCACTCGTATTCCTCACTGTTCTAAGCCTCTAGAACAGTGTTCCGTAGTTCCTGTAACACTACTCCCCCTTCCTAGACGTCGCCCTCGACCGTTAAAACCCTTTCTATGGTAAAAACCCTGTGGGAAAAGTCATAGAGTAGGGAAAGGTATCGAGCTTAGTCCCGCCTGTTCCGTTGTCGTTTGCGTGCCCGGTCATTATCGATCGCTAGGCCTTGACTTCGTGTGTGGGGTCGTATGTTCGAGGTTGGCTGGAAGTTCTCATCTGCCAATGCCTCCTGTGGCTCGGGTGTTGCCAATCGCTTTCGTGTATTCTGTTTTCTGGTGGGATTCGGATCCTCACGATAGGGTCGCAGCAACATCTCGTGAAAGACGTCATGAACCTTCCATTCTACCGGAAGTTCAAGGCGGTAAGCCCGATTGCCCACCACTGCTGAGACCGTAAATGGTCCTGTTAACTTATCTGACCACTTGGAGTACCCTCCTAGATTTCGAGTATCCAGCAAGACTTTCTGGCCGATAGTGAACCGCTGTACTGCTGGTCCTGGCTTTGACGCCATCTTGTCGAAAGTCTTCTGTAGAGTATCCCTCGCTAACTCATGAGCCGTGATGATCTCGTCCAAGTAGTTGTTCCCATTGGCATCTAATCGTTTGATCTCTGCATCCGTAGGCCAATCCGTTCGAGGGTGGAAGCCATAATTGCAGTAGAACGGCGATTGCCCCGTTGACGTATGTTTCGCATTGTTGTAGGCATATTCACAGATAGGTAACAGGTCCTTCCATTTCTTGCCTGTTCCTGCCGTATATGCCCGAATATAACCTTCCATGTGTTGGTTGGTTCGTTCTGTCTGGCCGTCGGTTTGCGGGTGGAATGAAGTGGAGAGTCTCCTACGAATCCCCAATCGTTCCGTGACTGCCGTCCAGAATGCTGACACGAACTGCGTCCCTCTATCTGA